CGTCCCCAGGCCACAGGGAAGCCCCTGTGTGCGCCTCCCCAGGGGCCGACACCCTGCTCCCCCTCCCCCCTCCCCCCTCCAACGCGGGGAAACCCCTGCGCATGTGTCTCCCCCACCGCAGATCTCTTCTCTCTCCCCCCGTGCTCCTCCTCTGGGGCCGATGCCCCCTCCCACAGCGCGCCCAGCATGGGAAGGGAGCAGCCAGCGTACTTCCGGAACCCCCGGAAGTGGCGCGAAGCTGCAGGACTTCCGTCCACCCCGCGGGAAGCCAGCACTACCTCCATTGTCGTTGGAGGTAGGTAGTGGGGCTTTTTGGGGGTGGGAGGGAAAATGAGAAGAGGCCGAATGCCTTACAATCGACTGGTTGAGGCCTCGCAATCGACCGGTTGGGGACCACGGGTGTAGTTGTTGTTTGGATACTATTTCATTTCCAATAGGAAGTGATGTGGACTGTGCAATTGTGACTGGGAGAGAACATATTCCATAAGTCAGTCTCTCTGTTAAGAAGTCTCGCTATTAAAAACTTCAGGTGCCCTATATTAGATGACTATTCAATCCAATATCAAAGATCTTGTTAAACAAGAAGTACTGAGCAAAGTACTTGGATTAATGATACTCCAGAACACTTTCAGTAAATAAAAACAATTAATGAATCTCATGTAGCATTTGAATTCATAACACTTATCGTTTCTCATCATTCAAGAACAACGGGATATTCAGTGTAATTGTAAAGGCAAAAGAAACTGTAGGAAACATTTCTTTTACACAGTGCTTAATCTGTGAAACTCATTGCTACAAGATATTGTTTAAACCAAAAAACCTGGTAAAATTAGAATAAGGATTATCCACTCATGTGGATAAGATATCCCACAATTAAATGTATTCTGCTAAATGTAGGGAATGCTTCGTATTGCTGACATCAAAGGCAAATTAGAAAGGGTTGCAAGCGGTGTTCTAATTTTTTACACCATGTGCAGAATGAATTTTGTTATGTGCACCAACATGGAGATGGTGCGTCACATATCATCTCTATATGGTGCACATAACAAAATTCATTTTGCACATGAATGGTCTGTGTCAGAGGTGGGGCTGAGGAGTTTGGTGTGTGAGGGGGGGCTCGAGGCTTGGGGTGTGCGGGCTTTGGCTGGGGATTCAGGCTCTGAGGTGGGGCTGGGAATGAAGGGTTTGGGATATGTGAGGGGTCTATAGGTGGGGCAGAGGGTTAGGGTGCAGGGGGGAAGGCTATGGCTGGGGGTGCGGGATCTACGATGGGGCTGAGGATGAAAGGTTTTGGGTACAGGTTTCCCTGGGAGAGAGGGCTCCCTCCAATCTCCTCTCACTGCAGCAGCTCCAGGCAAGTTGAAAGTTGTATCTGCTGGCCATGCAGCTCCACTGAGACTAGGCTGGGCTGAGGGGAAGAATGCCTCTCTTCCGGCTACTGCAGATCCATGTTGTTGGGGATGGTTGGAGAAGAACTTTGAGAAGGTGCCATTCCCCCAGCCATGGCAGCTTCTTGCTGCCCTTGCTGGGGCCAGAGGCATGCTCCTCTGGTCCCAGCAAGTAACTGCCAGAGCCAGGGGGAATGTACCTCTTCCCCAACCTCAGCAAGAAGCTACCTCAGCTACGGGAGAGGGGCCTGTTCCACAGTTGTGGGTGCTCTGAGTCCCAGCATGGGGCTTATTAGGCAGCTGTGTGACTGTGCAACTTAGAGAGATGATTGTAATTGTTGTCTTTCCTCTTCCCTTCTTCCCCTCCATCTTAATTCAATGTGTTAAGTAATTTCTTTAGGGTGTGGACATGCCTTGTTTCTGAGATCCCCTAGCACATTCCTAGGTAATCAAACAATTTTTATATATTTACAGAATTGATATGTGCATCTTATCTCATAGGTTCGGTGTTGGGAAGTTCAAGATAATGGACAGACTATTCCGAAAGCTCAGCAGATGCACACAGGGCCCGTACTAGATGTATGCTGGAGTGATGTATGTTTCTTTGTTGGTTTCAAAAAGTATTTTCAAGGAAATTAGTAACTTAATCCAGGAAACAAATATCTTCTAGTTTCAAATACTGACTTAAATTGTAGATTAAATTATATGCTACAATCATAAAATGTAACATTTAAATCTGAGATTGCTTTGTTTTAGTAAGACTACCACTTGGATGTGAAGATGCAATGGCAGGAGGTTTTTTAAAGCTGTTATTAGCTAGTACAGTTTTCATTAACTTCTGGTAGTACAAAAGGCCTTGCAGAAATCTTGTATATTGAAGTGAATTTCACCCTACAATATTACTACATTAAGCAAAATTGCAGAATTTGCTTTGTTTCATTCCCATAGTTTTAATTTAGTACCATTTCAGTTTTAATCCATACTTTTTGGGGGAGCTTTTCCTCTGGGTTTTTTTTTTTTTTTTGTGCAAATTACTTTTAGGAAGTCAAATGTTAATTTAAACAAAACCCTTACACAAGAGTAGACTATTGTGGCTATTTGAAACTACATGGTTATGATTTGATCAAAAAAAACCAATTTGTTAAATTTAGTAAATACAGGTATCGGTATAAAATTCACATATTTTTTTTACATATCTTTTGTGATCTAAGATGCTTTACCATTTTTGAGGCATCTTGTGTGCCCACTGTTTCCTTAGGGAAAGGATTGCATATTATAAAACTATAGAAAACAATAGGAGAAAGATTTGAAGTAGAATTTTGGAGTGATGTTAAGCAGTAAGAACAGGGCAATATCAGTCTCTTCAGCTGGATAGCAGTCTAGGTACATCTACTCTACATGGCTATTTCAAGATACTGGAGGTATCCCGAAATAGCTACCGTGTGTCTACACAAGCCGCCCGTTACTTCAAAATATTTTTTCGAAATAACGGGCATGCTATTTTGTCATCCCGGTAAGCCTTGCTGCACAAGAGATAAGGAAAGCTCGAAATAGCATGTTATTTTGAAATTTGGTGCTGTGTAGATGCGCCAAATTTCAAAATAAGCTATTTTGAAATAGATTCAAAATAAGATATTCAATTTGCATAGCACAAATTGCGTATCTTATTTCGAGTATAAGGTGCTGTGTAGATGCACACTCTGTGTGTTTCTAATTATCAATTCAAATATATGTATTGTGATAGTGATTCATTAGTCAAAATCCTGTTTTGTATGATGGTTTTGTAGGCAGTTGTCCTAATTCTCCATTATTTTGCACCAAATATACTCTCAGAAGAGCATTATTTTACATACCTAGTTTATTAAATGACTACACAAGTACTAGGTAATGAAGAATCAGGCCCAGCAATTCTTTAATGGGTAGTGAATATTGCAAACATAAATTACATGTTCAAATTAACATGTAATCTTTTAAAATTATGAAACTTAATGACTTTTTTCCTCCTTGTAGGATGGAAGTAAAGTATTTACTGCTTCTTGTGATAAAACTGCCAAAATGTGGGATCTCAACAGTAACCAGGCCATACAAATTGCACAGGTAAGTAATCCCCAAGTTATTTCTCTCAGAGAGACACTAAAGCAGGGGTAGACAATTTTTAAGGGGGGGGGGTCACTCCAAGATTTTGGTTAGGGATCAAGGGCCACACTTTTCTATGGAGGATTGTGGGGTCTGGGATTGAGGTTGAGTGAAGACAGGGGCTCAGGATAGGGGACTGGAATGCAGGAGAGGGAGTGGGATCTGAGAGGGAGTTTGGTTGAAGGAGGGAATTGTGACCTAGTGATTGGGGGTTGCAGGTTTGGAGGGTTTGGGTGGTGATCTGGAGCAGGGGATTGGGGAGCAGGGAGGAGGTATGGGTGCAGGTGAGCATTCTGACCTGCAGGAGAGATGTAGAAGGGAATGCAGGATCTGGGAGGGAGTTGAGGTGTGGGACGGGGTGGGGTGCCAGAGGCAGGCTCTAGCCAAAGGCACTTACCTAAGCAACTCTCAGCCAGCAGCACTCTTTGGCAGGCTTCCCCAGACTGCTCTGTTTCCTGTGGCTCTCTTCATTAAGAGGGGAGGCTTCACACTGTGGCCGGCCAATAGAAGCTGAAAGATTTTGCTGGGGGTGGGGGCAGTGCGTGAAGCCTCACTCCCCTTAACATAGAACACTACAAGGAGCAGCCACCTGCTTTGAGCAGCACTGTCATCTGCACTAATGTATCATTTCTTTTAAATAAATCTTAAAAAAAAAAAATTTACAAGCCAGTTTAAAAGGACATTCAACGTTTTCCAGTTAGATACTGTTATATGAAGTATAGTGTGAGGAAGATGCCTGTCAAATTGCTAGCTACATTTTAAGGTGATGGTAACTCTTAAAGTGGGACGTAGGTAATTCAGACCGTAGGCAAAAGCCCTGTGTTATCCCCAAGAGACTTCTCATCATCTATGACAGCATTTTCCAAACTATCGGCCGCGGCCCGGTACCGGTCCGTGGGAAAATAATACCGGCCCTCAGCGTGGCTGCTGGGGTGTTGCAGGCTCCCGGAGTGCCCATGCAGCACTGGGTCCCCCAAGCCCTGGGCGCGCTTGGCGGAGGATGCAGCCGGATGTTCCAGGCTCCTGGCAGAAGCGTAGCGAGGGGTGGAGCTGGGGGCAGTTGCCCCTGGGCGCCACGCTAGGGGGGCACCGGGCTGGGCTTGGAGGGGGGAAGGTACGGGATGCTGGGCTACAGATGGAGGGAGGTGCCGGGAGCCTGCCGCTGGACTTAAGGGGAGGGAGAGAGGGGCAGGGAATCAGCGTTGGGCTCAGCATGTCTGCATGGTTTAGGGGAAGGTGCAGGGAACCAGTGGGGGTGGGCAGCTCAATTGGATTGCAGGGGATGGAGGTGCAAAGAAGCCTGGTGGGGACAGGCGGGGGGACCAGGAGCCCTGAAGTGACCTTTCCTAGTCCAAAACATCCCTCATCTGGGACCACTCAGGTCCAGAGGGTGCCAGACCAGGGAGGTCCAAGTCCTCTCCTTGCACTTTCCCTTCTAGCCAGATACCCTACCCCCAGTCTGCTCCTGCCTCCCGGAGTGCCAGTGTGGCACCAGGTCCCCCAAGCCCTTGCCCAGGCTGGGCGGAGGATGCAGCCGGATGTTCCAGGCTCCCAGAGTGCCTGTGCGGCTCCGGGTCCCCCAAGACCTGGCTCAGGCTGGGCGGAGGATGCAGCCGGATGAACCAGTGAACATTTATTCATTTTCCATTCTTTTTTTTAATATGCGTTCATATTTTTGGGCTACAAAAATCAGTACTGAAAAAAACAGGTTCCGACTAAAGTAAAAAGTTTGGGAAACCCTGGTCTAGCCAGCTTTCTGTCCATCTTACAGACCATTTATCCAATCCATATTCCCTTAACTTGCTGGCAAGAATATTGTGAGTAACCATATCAAAACCTTTGCTAAAGCTGGCACTGGGGGTTTTGGGAGGACCAGAAATAATTTATTTGCATATTCATCATTTGCTTAATGATTATGCAAATATCCAAATGAATGTTACAGGTCCTCCAAAAGCTCATGAATGGATTAACTGGTGCCTGTGTCAAAAAATTTGGGAACCTCTGCCTGATCTGTGGCCTCACAGTAGCACTGAGCAACAGACATGATTACTCAATGTTGCTTCTCCACCCCATTTTGACTCCCTTTTACACTCATTGTTTCAGTTACCAATCATGTGTTATTAAATAATAACTGAATAAAATAATATTAAATAAATAATTAAAAACAACATCCATGTTTTGATTGTTTTTTATTTGGACCTCAAGTGTGTAGTCGGCCCCCGAACTGCTGTTTGATAGTTAATGCGGCCCTCGGGCTGAAAAGTTTGGAGACCCCTGTATTAGAGGTAGGGAGATTGGGATGTTTGTGAGTTAATGGTATTAGAGGTGATAATTGGGGAAACTGTCTTGGTAATGGGTGAGATAGTTCAAATGTTTGTTAAGTCCTTGTTGGCAAGTGTCGAATTTTAACATGAATGACAGTTCAGAGGATTCCCTTTCAAGTGCAGATGTAAAAGGTCTTTGTAGCAGAATGCAGGTGGTCAAGTCATTGAGAGAGTGTCCTTTCTGGTTAAAATGGCAAGAAACTGTTTTTTCTTTGTGATCTTGTCTGATATCTGTTTTGTGGGCATTAATCCTTTGGCGAAGTGTCTGAGATGTTTGTCCAATGTACATAGCAGACGGACACTTTCGGCACATGATAGCATAGATTATATTTCTGGATGCGCAGGAATATGTGTTCTTGATCTTATAACTCACTTGGTTAGGTCCAATAATGGTATCAGCAGAATGAATATTACTTTCTTCCACTATTTGATCTGAGGAAGTGGGTCTGGCCCACGAAAGCTCATCATCTATTAAACCATCTTGTTAGTCTTTAAAGTGCTACATTGTCCTGCATTTTGCTTCAGCTACCCCAGACTAACACGGCTACATCTCTATCACAATCCCCTGTGTTGCTTTCTTGCTCTGCTTCACTAATAGTTTTTTCCACTACACAATCTTTTTAACATAGATTTCGGATGAGCACTAAGATCATAGGAAAAGAGAGCTTTATATGTAATTGTTAGGTTCTTTTTCATGAGGGTATTGACTTCTTAAGTGCATTGTTAATAGGCTGACATCTATTTTCAACTTCAATGCGAATTTTTACTCTAATATGGAACACTTATTTCTGTTCCTTAATGTAAGTTATTGTATGTGAAATTAAATATGTGAAAATGTTCACTGTTTTCTCTTTAGTTGCGGTGAAGCATACATATTTTGATTATAGTGGTGATTTCATAACAAATACCCTATTTTTGTAGCATTCTTTTGCTATGCATAGCCAAAAAGTGATACTGTCATTTTAAAAAATGTATATGCATTGTTCTTGGCTGTTTTCCTTCAGCATGAAGCCCCTGTTAAGACTGTCCATTGGATTAAAGCACCCAACTATAGCTGTGTGATGACAGGAAGTTGGGATAAAACTTTGAAGGTATGAAAATTGTTCCTGGTAAACAGGTTTATTCTATGCTAATGTATGTGAAATTGGAAATGTTTACTATAAACTTTGAACTCTACACTAATTTGAAAAATCAATAAATAACTTTTATAGGTGATGATTTGTAACACTAAGGAAGTGAGTGTTATTTCCCTCTGGCCAGGGGCTAAAAAAAAACTCAAAATGAAAATGTGATCAGACTCATTTGTGCCAAAATAAACTGTTGCAATGTTTCCTAATACTAAATATGCCACATTTCCAGTAGCAAAAGGAATTCTTCAAGTCTTTTAAATACATTGATTTTCATTATTCCCTTAGTTCTGGGATACACGATCACCAACTCCTATGATGACATTACAGCTACCTGAAAGATGCTATTGTGCTGATGTGGTAAGCCAATACATATGTTTCACAAAATGAAACATGTTTCAGAACAATGAAATTTGTGCAAACTTCTATGGTTCAAAGGATTAATAATTTCAGAGCCCATGATACCTATTTATTTACCAATCCAAGTTAGTATTAAATAAATAATAAGTTTGGTTATGTTTGATGGCTGTTTGGTCTCAATCTAGTTCCTGGCACAGAGAGAATCCTGTCCTCTGAAGCACTATTAGTGGTCTCGTTGTCATTGAGAATAGAGGAACCAAAAATACAATTGATACAAACGGAAATGCGCTTGCGTCCTTGCCCATATCAGAATTTATGCTTCTTGTTGGAAAAAGCTTGTGTTACTACTGCCCCTACTGTACATACTATGCAGATACAATTTTCAGTCTATTGGTTACCGTTTACCAGAACCAACAGTCTTGCTCTTTTAAGTTGATTGTTTGAAAGGTTTAGGTAAAACAAGTAACTTGAAGGAGTTTAGACTTTTCTGTTGTGAAGTTAACATAGTCTAGTCTCTTTTCAACCTGCACTTCTCATCCTTATCCAGGTACATCCCATGGCAGTTGTGGCTACTGCAGAAAGGGGTTTGATAGTGTACCAGTTAGAGAATCAGCCTTCTGAATTTAGAAGAATAGAATCTCCACTTAAACACCAGGTAAATAATTGATTACACTTACTATAAGATTATTAATGCAGCATATAAAAATTGTGGGTTAGATATTTTACCAAAAAACTTAATATATTAAAACCACATTTTCTTTGCCCAGTATAGTGTACGTTCCTAAATACACATAGACTTTCAATATAGCAAATTGCCTGCATCTTTGTAGTACATATTGGATTCCGGAGAGGAATTTGTGCCACAAAATTAACATTTCTGCATAAAATATTAAATGTACTCAATATTTGTCAATAAATAAATATGCAGGCTGCCATACGGTAATGGTGAGCACAAGGCTCTAGCTGCATGGATGTGGGAGGTCACCCTGCAGGCCCTTCCTTTTTTCACCCACAGGACTTAGCTGTGAGGGTGCACCTGACCTTGATAGTGCAAGAGACCGGCTTCCCCAGAAAAATCCTGAGGCCCTGCCCCTCTGTGCCAGTACCACCAAGATAGCAAACAAGAGTTTTGCCCATGATCTAGGTGTGGGGCAGACAGATTCAGCCTGGCAGGATTCAAGTGTGGAGGGGCTAAGGTGGCTGGATCCAGACATGGGGTCAGAGGGCTTTGTGTGAAGGAATCTGAGTGTGGTGGCTTGGTGGGGGGGTCTGGATGCACAGACTCATGGGGGGGTGCTCCATATTTAAGAGAAATGGAACTTGTTAGGAGGGTCCAGGTTAAGGAGGTTGCGGCTCATCAGAAGAGGAGGGTCCAGATGCTGGGGGAGTGGGGCTTGATGAGGTGGAAGTCCACATACACCTAGTTACGGCTCACTCTGGTTGGAGGATTTCTCAGGGTGTTTCAGGTGTAGGGCGAACCCCAGGGTGATTTACTTCTCTGCCAGCTGCTCTATGCTTCTAAAACAAAACAATGCCTCCACACCGTTAAGGAGGAATGTGCCTCTTTTGAGGCTTTTCTTTTGCTTCCTCATGAGAAATCATTTTTCTTTGTGGAAGCAAAGAAATCTGCAACGGATATGAATTCTGCATGTGTGCAGTATCGCAGAATTCCCCCAGGAGTAATATATACATCCAAGTGAATGGCCTGGTTTGAGAACATTTTCTTGAAAACACATGGAATTTAGGAAAGTTATTAAGATTTAGTGCCCGTGCCCATCCCCATGGATTTACTTCACATGGAGTAATTTGGCTTTCTTTACAGGAATAAGGAACAGTGGAAAAACTATACAGCTGGTCCCTGAGTTGCGAACAGTTGACTTACGACCGTTCGCAGTTACGACCAAAGCTGTCGTAAATGGCGAACCCCGAGTTATGAATGCGATCCATGCTTACAAACAGAGCGGTCACATGTAACTCAATGGGGTCCGACTTACAAATGAACCGAGTTACGACCAATTGCTTGGTCTGTAACCGTTTCATAAGTCGGAGAGAGGCTGTACATAAAAATATTTTAATGAAATATATCTCAATATTTACAACTAAAATCAGAGACTGTTTTAGTTTGATACTAAAACTTTACAGTTAAGCTTAATGGGACAAATCCTGCAAGCTCAGTTGGCATCCATGGAGAGGAAGACTTGCAGGATCAGGCTCATACCTCAGTTTCTCTATTGTTTTTAATTTTGGTCAAAATGCAATTCTTCTTTGTGCTTGTTCTTACAGCATTGGATAACAGGCTTGTTATTTGTAGAACAAGTAATTGTTCCAAAGAAGCAGGATTGATGGTGGGTAGAATCTAGTAATTTTATTCTCACTATATTAATGCACATTTTTGGGATGTAGAATTGAGAGAGAAATCTTTCATAATCAGTCATGTCACCTAACATGCAAAAGATTTTTGTATGTTTAATTCCTTGGTGAAAGAGGAAGAAAACTGTTGTTTGTTTAGAGGAAATGTCTGCTGCTGATCCCCAAGTGAATTCAGAAATTTGCAAATTTAGGCATAAATAAGTAGAGGGGCTTTGACTCATTGTCTAATATTGTATGTGCTTTTCTCCAAGTTGTGTTAATATATGCAGTGTGTTGTGCCTCCATAGAAAGGCAATGTTTAGAAAAATCTGGCCATTGAACTTCTGTCTAAAATGCTTTGTATCCTTTTCAAATTCAGCATCGTTGTGTTGCTATTTTTAAAGACAAAGTGAACAAACCTACTGGATTTGCCCTTGGAAGCATTGAAGGAAGGGTAGCTATTCACTATATCAACCCACCAAATCCGTAAGTGTGACTTTTTTTTTTGTATTAAATATTTTGCAATAGTTCATTTTAAAATTAAGAAAATGTGGAAAAAAAATCTTTCTTTTCAGAGCCAAAGATAACTTCACTTTTAAATGTCATCGCTCCAATGGAACAAACACATCAGCACCCCAGGATATCTATGCTGTAAGTATTCAACACATACCACTGCATCATTTTTGTAGTGAAGTTAGAAGCTACATACACCTAATGTACAGTTTTGTGTGAAATCTACCATAAATTCTCTGTTCTTTGACTTTTTTTGCACCTAAAGAGTTTTGCTTATGCTTAGGGAAAAATTATCAAATGCAAATATTAAAATAGTAGCAGGCAAAGTATTTTGCTCTTTGTTAAAAATAACCAGAACCCCCTACAATTTGCCTGTGTGACGTAGTGTGGGTACCTTGCTGGTTGCTAGGCATCGGCTGTGGGTGACCACCACTGGCTGCTGTCTGTACCAAGGCCCAGCTGATGGGACAGGGAGGTAACCTGTTCTACCAGTTACCCCCCAGGGAGAGGAACAAAGGAAGGTGGAATGCCGCCCCTGGCTGGGGGCAGGGCTGGAAGGGACAGGTTTTTATTGGCTGTCTGGGAAGCAGGGGAAAAGTAGCTGGGGGGAGGGCTGGGATTGTGGGGCCCAGCCACCCCCCATCTCGGGGGGGGGGGCACTGAGGCCTCCTAGCCCCAGTTCCTGTAACTAGATTACATCTGATCTGTGTTGTGCTGTATCCTAGAGAAGCAATAAAATCCCTCTATTCTACTGGCTGGTGGAGTCTGTTCGTGCCACTATGGGGGTGCAGGAGGTGGAAAAACCCCAACGCACCGCCACAGCCTGACTATATGCTTTCTTTCTATCTGTCTGTCTGTCTATTATACCCAAGTTTTTGTTTATGGAAAAACATACTGCTCATTAAGTCTCTGCTCAAGATTCTGTTCAACAACAAGGGAATTACTATGTTCTCAAATGGGAATTTGTATTTAAATAATAGCCACTCAGGAAAAACAGATTTTTTGCAAAAAGTTCTTTGTCAAGACTAAAATACTAGTTCCAATTTAAATTAGATAAATCTGCACATGAGTTCAGTGTATGTATTGTGAAACTCCATCTCATCTGCATTGTTGGTTATTTTATGATGGTTTCTATGACTTCAGGTGAATGGGATAGCGTTTCATCCTGCCCATGGCACCCTTGCAACTGTAGGATCTGACGGTAGATTCAGCTTTTGGGATAAAGATGCACGAACAAAGCTAAAAACATCAGAACAGCTTGACCAGCCAATATCTGCCTGTTGTTTTAATCACAATGGGAATATTTTTGCATATGCTTCTAGTTATGACTGGTCTAAGGTAAGAAATTGTGAATTAAGACGACGCTATTTCAATACTCCATTTCATCTGAGACTCTCAAAGTTCTTTACAGGTATTACTAAAGTATTCCAAATACCTCTGGGGGAAAAAGGTTGATTTAGGGATCACTTTAGCCTACTCTCAGATGAAACACAGCACTAAATCAGTAATTGTTTTGGCCTGGGATGGGGAGCCTAAGGCCCAGGGCCCATATGCAGACCCCAGCTTGCCTGGATCTAGCCCCCAAGGCTCAGACCTTCTCCCTCCACCCCAGCATTGGGGAGCTTGGCACTGGTGCACCAGCTCCCTGTAGGGCTGGAGCACACACAATCTATTATCCTGGCCCCCCCAGGTGTGTGAGGACTGAGGGAAGTGTCTTTCTCCTTAGTCAGGGACCACATCAGTGAGGGGCATGTATGTGTTTTTAGGGAAGGGGGGGGGGGCGTTGTTTGCTTGCTTCTCACTTGTATGCAGCCCCTGATTGGGGGGGAGGTGTGTGTGTGTGTTTTTGTTTTGTTTTTGTTTTGTTTTGTTTTTGTTTTTGTTTTGTTTTTTGTGGGCTAGCAGCCCCTGACCCAAAAAAGTTCCCCACCCCGATTTAGGCCACGAAACAAAGACTGTCTTGCCCAACTAAATATAGGTTAAACAGAGTTACCTGATTTTGGAATTTGTTCCATATGTGATTGCTAACACACCTACTGTTAGAGTGCTGTTGGATTATATAAATAAAATTGATATGGTGATTTCATTTCTTCCAAAGAAAACATACCTAAAGCACTGATTAAAAACATGCTGCAACACTGTTGCTTCTGTTACTCAAGTGAGTGAGTGCCGTGTATTTAATTTCGAATACCAGTTCCTGGAGCTCTTTTGTGATGGTTTGAGATCTTTCTTCCCAGTATACACTTGATGCTAAGATACAAAGGATCACAATGCAAGAAAATACAATTAGTAGTTTGAAAAAAGAAATGTTAAAATCTAACCAATACTAATCAGTTATTTACAGTAGGGATGTGAAAATATAACTGATGCCAAGGCTCATCAATTAGTGTTCATGGTTACACACAGCCTCCTAATACCTCCAGGGAGGTGGCTTAAAGCCAGCTCCCCATGCACACCAGCTGCTGGAGAAGCCACCTACCACTGATATATAGGCAGCAGTGCAGGGAGGCAGGCTGGTATGCACCACTTAAAAGTCAGCTTCCCTCGCACACTGGCTCCTGGGGAGCTGACTGCTGCCCCACGTGTAACCGTGCAACTGCTGAAATTTTCAGCGGTTACATGGTTAAACTTATTTTAACATACCTAGCTTACAGTAACGCTATTTTTCTTCTTATGCCTTGTACTTTAAATGTAAAATAACTTTCATTTCCCGTTGTAAACTGTTACAGTTTATTGTTAAACAGTGGCATGTCAAATCTCAGTTCATTTGTGGATAAAGTGATCTCGATATGTTAAGTTTACTAATGTGCTTTATGTTCCTGCTGGATAGAAAACACTATAATTTAACTTTTATTGTTACAGTCCAAAGATAAAAGTATTTTTACTTTCGTAGGGGGGGGGGCGTTGTTTGCTTGCTTCTCACTTGTATGCAGCCCCTGATTGGGGGGGAGGTGTGTGTGTGTGTTTTTGTTTTGTTTTTGTTTTGTTTTGTTTTTGTTTTTGTTTTGTTTTTTGTGGGCTAGCAGCCCCTGACCCAAAAAAGTTCCCCACCCCGATTTAGGCCACGAAACAAAGACTGTCTTGCCCAACTAAATATAGGTTAAACAGAGTTACCTGATTTTGGAATTTGTTCCATATGTGATTGCTAACACACCTACTGTTAGAGTGCTGTTGGATTATATAAATAAAATTGATATGGTGATTTCATTTCTTCCAAAGAAAACATACCTAAAGCACTGATTAAAAACATGCTGCAACACTGTTGCTTCTGTTACTCAAGTGAGTGAGTGCCGTGTATTTAATTTCGAATACCAGTTCCTGGAGCTCTTTTGTGATGGTTTGAGATCTTTCTTCCCAGTATACACTTGATGCTAAGATACAAAGGATCACAATGCAAGAAAATACAATTAGTAGTTTGAAAAAAGAAATGTTAAAATCTAACCAATACTAATCAGTTATTTACAGTAGGGATGTGAAAATATAACTGATGCCAAGGCTCATCAATTAGTGTTCATGGTTACACACAGCCTCCTAATACCTCCAGGGAGGTGGCTTAAAGCCAGCTCCCCATGCACACCAGCTGCTGGAGAAGCCACCTACCACTGATATATAGGCAGCAGTGCAGGGAGGCAGGCTGGTATGCACCACTTAAAAGTCAGCTTCCCTCGCACACTGGCTCCTGGGGAGCTGACTGCTGCCCCACGTGTAACCGTGCAACTGCTGAAATTTTCAGCGGTTACATGGTTAAACTTATTTTAACATACCTAGCTTACAGTAACGCTATTTTTCTTCTTATGCCTTGTACTTTAAATGTAAAATAACTTTCATTTCCCGTTGTAAACTGTTACAGTTTATTGTTAAACAGTGGCATGTCAAATCTCAGTTCATTTGTGGATAAAGTGATCTCGATATGTTAAGTTTACTAATGTGCTTTATGTTCCTGCTGGATAGAAAACACTATAATTTAACTTTTATTGTTACAGTCCAAAGATAAAAGTATTTTTACTTTCATTAATGGGGAATATTGGCATATATGAACTAACTGGTCTTTCAGTACAGTAGATTATGAAACAATATTTAGTAGTGAATCTGGAGCTGGTAGGCAGTTAGTCTTCTGTCTAGATTGTGTTAATCTGTCGAGTGAAAGTTCATAACTTCTAAATTGTGCATTGGGTTGTAATAGTTATATATCAGTCTCTGAATTAAGAAAACCCCAAAAAATCCAGATGCCAAGAGACCTTAGGGCTCTTTGAAAATAGTCTTTTAACACCCATTGCAATATCATGAATAATCCATGTATGTGCACTTGTATATGCTAACAATTATTGACAGTTATTCACTTTCATGTGCAGAATATTAGGTTTATAATAATAATAATTGATGAACAAAAATAATTGTATAATGGTGTGGACCTTGCTCTTCACTACATGAAAATTTGGTCCTCTTTTGTTTGACTCAAAAGACAATGTACAGTGAGTCTGTAGTACCTTTTATCATGTGCCCTCTTCTCCATTCTTAACCCTGGCTAAAACACTCCTTTTACTTTCCTTAACTCTCAAAATACTTGAATTTTGCATGTAAAGCAAAAGTTTAAGTGGTGTTCACTTGCTTTAAGCTGAAAAAATTTGGATTTTGAAATTTGCCTTTTAACTGTTTCTAATTGTAGTATATGCCAACCAATATGAAACTCCCTGTTTTTAAATTGTGAATTATCATTAAATTAACAATGTTCAGATTCTTGTACTTCAGGATTAAGCTGATACTTTCAGATAAATATAGTTAACTCTTTCTCTTTTTAGGGCCATGAATTTTATAATCCACAAAAGAAAAACTACATTTTTCTGCGTAATGCGGCAGAAGAGTTAAAGCCCAGGAATAAGAAGTAGTGAGTATAATTCTGACTGATGTTACAGCAGTACTTTTCTGCCACGCTACTCCCTTGAAGTTGTTCATTTTGGATCGCTAACATTTAGCTGGAAACCCTATAAATAATACCAAAGTATATTCTGATTTGCTGGAAAACATCATTCAAATTATGTATTCTGACGTGTACAGGAGTGTCTGATATTTGCAGGATGACTTACCGTACAACTGTTCTTCCGCAGTAATTGCTGTAAAATCTCTAAATTCAAGAGTGATATTAGTCTACTGTTCAGAAATGCAAGTGTGTCTATGGCAGTATTTTACCGTTACTACAATAAAATGCTCATTTACAATAGTTCTGGAAAAATTGTAGATACTGTTTCTTTTAACTATTTGGGGAATTATGAATAACTTTTCTCAAAGGGGGCTGGTCATTATTGGTTATTCATCATTTTCACGGATTCTTATTTTAATATAGAAGCATTAGTGACTGTATAGCAGAAAAAAGGGCATTGAAAATTTTGGTTTTCCTCAGGGTTTGAATGAATTCCGTATTTATATACGTAACCAAAAGCAGTGACAAAAGACCCGAGGTAGAACAGAGGGGCCTTGTAAAAATTTCCCTTTTCTCTTTCCGTGATTCCAACAATGCACTTCAGTCTTGATTTGCAGTGCCCTTCCTTTTTCCAGAAATTGCCAATTGCATCAAGTGGTATAGTTCAGTAGCCTGAACAAACTGCTAATGATTTAAATGTGAGCACCAAACTGATTTTCACTTGTGGCCTAAATTGTTTGATAACCCATATGTCTCCGGAGTTGAAAGGTTGTTCTTTTAGCTCAGAGTGCCAACAGTTTTCCCAAAACATTTTTGTCAGGCTGAAATAAGCTTGATTTTATGTTTTTAAATACTGGAATAGTAAATAATGGAGATGGGCTTCATCCCTGATTAAACAGTGCTGTGAAATTAAACAAAAATGGTGGTGGTGTTTTTTCTGACTTGAATCCGTTATTTTTGTTAACTGGCATGTGTACAACATGTAAAGTTTTCTTTTTGGAGCTGACTGCTCATTATTTAGGGGGGAGGGGAAGAAAATGGATCTTGCATATCCACAAAGACCTGTCATATTGTAAAAAAAATCTCTTTAAAAATTTACATTGTAATACTTGTGATTACTGATTCATAGTTACATTTAAAATAAATTTTTTACTAAATGATTTTGAGTATTCAGTGATTCTAAATATACTTTAATAATATGAACAGAATGCATCAGGCTGGAATATTTGTGTTACACTTCCCAAAGTGGCTTTTTTGGTCTTTCAAGTGCAATTTCAGATTTCTTTTCTAAAATTAAAACAATTAACTGCAGTTGCACAAAAAATATCCTGTATTGGAAATCTACCTCATTTGTCACTTCATTATGAATCAACTCTGTGGGTTTTCTCTCAGCATTACTCCTTTTCATTCATTAAATGTATCAGCCTTTTATTTGATGGATTTAATTGAGTTCCTTGGTATCTCAACAGTCAAATACCTCACAGCTTGTCTTTACTAAAAATGAATCATGCTATCATTAAAATCACTTGCTCTATGGTACTTAAATTTAATATCAACTCCAATCTTTTCAACATTGATTTTATAGCTGTTAGAACATTTTGAGGAATAATCATGCAACATGCCACTATTTCTCAAAAGTGCTCTTTATTTTGGTTAAATACCCAAGAAAGGTTTCTACTCTGTGCTGCTATATTTGTCTGGTTTTGGTTTTCAGGTGCACAGAATGAAGTAGTTCGTTTCCCATTCTTTTTGTCATAGAAAAGAGAATTTCCAACTGTTTAGTAGGCTGGTTGTTTTGCTTGAGCAGTTTTTATTATTTTGTTGAATGTCATTTTTTTAAGTTTGGATGTGGATTCTGAAAGAAAAATAGAATATTGTAATCTTTGGTGCTAAGTACTTATCAAGTTTTTACAGTTGAATTAATTTTATGAATGCTAATGTGCACTGAGGGTCAAGTTAATCCAGTATCAAGAAAAAAAGTTATATTAACTGTGTTGTGGGGAACCTTTGTCCCCCAAATGCATTCAGAAATTAAGAACAATTCTTTAATATATTAGGCAAAAATATATTTAGCTAGCAAGTTAAAAGAACTAGCAGTAGTCTCATTCAGTCTTACTATATATTTTAGAAATATGTGTCCGTATGTGAGTCTATTTATTCAAGAACTCCTAAACGGTAAGCGCTAGGAACACCAAATTTGGTTTGCAGCTTCCTCTCATCATAAATTAAAGCAAGGTCAAGGTTTGGTTTTGCTAAGATAATGGGATGTACTTGGAATTTAATTTTTTCATAAAATAGAAAGGGAGGGATCTGGTAGTAGGGGTAGTTGTATTGCAGAATGACCACAGGGGAGCAACAAGGGTACTAGGACAGCTATAATCCCATGGAGTCAGCAGGGGGTAGTGGCAGAGAAAAGGACAGCTGTCTACTACATATTTCAGAGAGTTTGTCCATTTGTGTCTGTTTTTCTGTGTTTGTCCCTCAGCTGAGGGGCATGCATCCCTCCCCTGACTGTGCCTGCTGTAGTGGCCATGGACAGGCACTTCTCACCTGGCCCCACACTGCTGTGGTGAGAGAGGGCTGGGGTTGTTCTCTCTCCCTGGGGCAGCCTGCATACTGAACCCTTCATCTCCAGCTCTACCCCAGAACAATGATTTAAATGAAGAAAAACAAAACAAATTTGTGTTAAGCACTTGAGGAATGCTGGGTAAATCTTCTAGTGTAAGCATATATGCAGTTTTCACATATCAGCATTGATATGAAGTGATCAGCCATATACAAATTCATTCATTCTAGTCATCTCACTTTGAATAAATGTAGCAGTGTCCACTGCTGTGTTCGTTAGGTGCTCCCATGGTGGCTGGTTTTTGAAGGCAGGCAAGAGAGAAGAATGCTGCTTTGTTGAGCATGGTGAGATAAGAGATATCAAGGATTCTTCATATGTGCATCTACAAATTGTTCTCTTACATTTGAAAGGAACAAGCACCTTCTTTGTTTTGGATGAGTGGGGTGCCAACCAGGACAGTTTCTGACAAAAAGAGTGGAAGTTACAATGCCAAGAATATTGATGCTTCTCCTTGAGTATATCTTAATGCATTGGATTGTCCAAGCATAGATCCACTTGTTGTTTAGCAGATCTTCAATATGATGAATGCTGATGAAGAAGTTATACCCAACTACGTATCGTATGAATTTGTACCAGGGCTGACCACAAAATCTTCATGGCCTGAAGACCAACTTGGTGAACAACAGTAAACAAAATCTGGCGCACAAGCATTATCACCTAATATGTTGACATCTCATGACAACTTGCATTCGGAGTTGCAAACCATTTTTACATAGTAAGAGGAAGAATATTGTGTTCGTTTGCCATCATGAATTGAGCACAACACACAAGTTCCCTCAAAAATCCCCTAAGTCTGCAGTGTTTGGAGGGCAGTAACTCCAAATCCCCATAGAATATTAGGCAGAGCGAGCCTGCATCATTCGACTGTGTGTTTAACAAGCCTGTATTTGAACAGACCAACCTTCCTGGGGTATCTTCTACCTTTAGGGTAACTACGTATAGTAACCACTGTCAGTGTAGTGCATTATCAGCTGGAAAATGTCAACTAGCACACAAGATACTCTCACTTGAAACAAACATGTACATAAAACTACTAACACGGGATAATAGTGCAATACATTTGGAGTATTTTTATAAATATAAAAATATTTTCATTCTAATTTTTTTTTTTTTTTTTGCTGTGTTGTGAACATATGCTTGCTTAGGTGACAGCATCCTAAGACAACTTAGCTAGAGGGCCACTAGTCCATGAGTTATTGCAACAGATGTGCTTGTGAGATTCAATGTTATCTCATGAATGTGGATGAAAGTTAAGTGGTATTGATGGCAAAAATATTTATTCT